TCCTTCCATTGTACATATTTTGGTTGCAAATAAGTGTTTTAACGTTACAGAAAAAAAAAAAAAAAAGAGAGAAAGAAACATTAAAAATCCAGAAAAAAAAGCAGAAGCAAATGTACTAATTTATATTTATAAGTTATAAAAGTTTTTTACTGTTACTGCTAGATAACATATTAATTTGATTTACAAAAGGGGAATCGTATCAAAAGGTTGAAACTGAGTTTTTCAAAACAAAGGGAAAATAAATTTGATCTATAATTGGTATCGAAAAATAAGAATTGAAGAAGTAAAAGAGGAAATGCAAAAAAAAAAAAAGGTTAGTAAAGTATGAAAAAGCAAGCAAGCATAAAGTCCCTTTTTGCTTCTTCAACAATTGCGGGATCTTTTCTTTCGACAAATATACAACGCTGCAATACTTTGCAGTCAGTCAATTTAGCCAGCCAGTTAATTCAGTCACTTCAGTTGGTCAGTTCAATAAGTCTCCGTTTGGTCAGTTAGTTAAGACTGTGTTCCAACTGGCCATAGGTGCAGAAAAAGCAATAATTTTAATTAAAACTTTTCAACTTCTCTGTGGTCAAGTATCACCCATTGTTGTCATTACTTTTGTTTAAGTTTACAGCAATAAATCAGGTCATTTGTCTTTCTCTTCACTTTGCACTCTTTAAACGATTAAAAAATTTTTTTTGCCTTTATCCTCTTTTTTTTTTTTTTTTTGTTCTTTTAAAAATCTTGCACAGATTTATAAACAACATGAACATGAAGAAGATGAAAAGAAAGCAGCAGCAGCAGCAGCAAAAAAAAAAAATACTCAGTAAATTCATAAACAGCTTCTGTTTATACGACGTTAATATTGCTTTAGCAATTACTACTATTCAACAAAAAAATTTTTTTATAATTTTTTATGATTACCAAAACAAAAAAAAATTTTTTTTTTTTTTTGATTTTTAAAATTTTGTACCTTCATCGATCAGACGTAAATTCGATAAAAAAAAAAAAAACTTATTATTTCCATGAATGATTTTAATCTGCATTACCACTTGTGTTTAAAAGACGAATAAATCTGACTAATTTTTGGAACTAAAAAATAAAAAAAAAAAAAAGAAATTATACGAATGCCACAAGAAAATTGGTTAAAAATAGGTCAGTTTTTCAAAATTAATACACCTGTTTATTAATAAAAGTTTTTTTTTTTTATTTGTTTTTTACTATTAATTAGTTTTTTAAAAATTAGATGATGGTAAAAAGTAGAATTAAAGAGGAGATAGGATGCCGGGTGTAAAATAGTTTTCACGTTGAATAACTCAATTAATTTTTTTTCTTCTCAAAACTCTTTGTTGCCGTTGTTATAATTGCTGTTGCATCAAAAAGCAGAATAGAAAACCAATTTCTTCAAGAAATTACCATAAAAGTCAAAATATAAAGTAAACACATCTTTTTTTTTTTTTTTTTTTTTT